CTAATGCAAATAAACGCAGCTTATTATTTGACGTCAGACAGCATTAACTTAGACCTTGACTATTAGTTTGGTCTCAGCATTGTTTCCATTTTCTGTTTGAACTTTGCTAAAACAAGACAACCATAAACTATTGCAGGAGCCCGCACCTGACCATTGTTAAAAGTGGCATCACATTATGCGTTACAATGAAAGTTCTTTTCGATTCATTTCAGATTTGTAAGCTCCAAATCTGGCAGATTGTATCTTCACACAGACATCAGAGTAATATTTGCACGTCAACCCCCGGACCTCCCTAGTGGGGTGAAATTTTGTACAGTGACGGATGGACCAACAGAACCTCGTTACACAAAATACAATCATAAATTAGTATAAAGAGTAGTGCTAGCTTTCTTAATTTATTATGAATATAACAATATTGATAGTGATTTATATTTGCAAATAATTTGAAGAAAGGATTTATCTCAGTAAGAGCAGTTTACACGCATCAATTTTGCCTTACTGCTCTTGTAAATGGTCCAGAAAATCGTACCTCTTTCTTGACCAGAATGAGGAAAGTTGAAACAGCTACGTTTTCCGCGCGTGATACTACGGAAGTGAACTTACTTTGAGTACTGATTGGCTTAAGTGGTATTTATCCTTGGCTCTGATTGGCCGGTTCGGTTACTTCCGGTTTGCCTTTGGTTTCATGGCGTTCTAGCGCTTTATCCTCTGCAAACATTTATTTTTACCCTCTTGAATCAAATTCAAAGAGCTGACTTGAGCCCCTCGTTAATACCGTGCATAACCAGATGACTCGAAAAAAAAATTGTTTACGCTGTCATTCACACTGGATGATAAAATGCTGGTCCATATCACAGCAACCTTTTTTAACCAATGAAGTCAAATGATCTACTATTTTTTATTTTTGATACCATTTTTTGTTTATTCCAAACTAGGTAGGTTATTCCAATTTTCTTTTGTTACATGTAACTCTTCGAATTACTTTTTGGTATTTGTATATAACAGCGCTACGCTTTAAAGCAAGTAAAATATAAATTTATTTAAGAAGGCTTTAAGTCCTGCAAAATAGCAACAGGTAATTTTTGAATTAAGAAAAATATGAAAGTAACGGCCGCATAGCTCGAGATGAGGAGAAATTGCGTTACTTAATTCTGTTGAATTAAAAAATTACATATATTAGCTATTTAAGAATTACGTGCCCATGATAAAGTTATAGGACGAAATCATCAGTTTTTGAAATGTCTCTGAAAGTAAAACTAAAGTATTTCATAAATATTGTGTTGACAACTATTTTCAAGTATGTAGGCAATTGAAAGTATTATGGATTACTGCTCTGTGTTATCACGTTGAATCAGCAATGGAAATTCAATTAAATAATCAACGATGCAATAAATTGGCCATCATGTTACCACCTGAGTTTTTTTTTTTCTTAGCCCGTGTCGAATATACACTTCTCTTTAATTGTTTGACCTCAAAAAGTGACTTGCATCAAATTTCTCCTTAAAATATCACCCCTGAATCACACGAGAACAATGGAAATGATCACCAATTGGAGCTCTTGATTCTCAAACAAATTCTCCTTGTCAGCACCTTACGAAATGCACAGATAACAGTATGGAGAATATGCATTCTTATGTTGTGTAAATAATTAATGCCATAGCCAATCTTTAATGGATAATTACTGAGGCATATGGCATTATGAGAAATATTGCAGCCAGCTGAGGCCGTTGCTGCAATATTTCTCATGATGCCATGTGCCGAAATAATTATCTATCATTATCATATAAGGGACAAAATTACTGTTTACTAGCCAGTTTGGCTAATAAACAGACTGAGATTGTCTAACATCTAAGATGTCACTAGCCACTTGGCTAGTAAGTTGAAAAGTTAGTGTCGAGCCTTGAAAAGTTACCATTTGTATAGGTAATCACATGGTTTCGAGTGCACTCTGAGATATACACCTAATTGCAATAAGGTTGTCATAGAAAAAAGCCAAATAGGAATTAATTAGCAATTATCATTGCTTGCAACATTCACAACGCACACGCTTCAATTTCTTGGTGACATTCTAATCGCGGAATTACAGAATTATGCCTTGTTATTGTGAGTGACTTCTTAAATAATTGTTAAATTATTAAAATACGCAAATGTAAATCACATGGCTAATTAATTCCTATTTGGCTTTTTGCTTTTTTCTATCACAACGTTATTGCAATTAGGTGTATCAGCACGAGTTAAGCTAAAGTGCTAGAGAGTGAAAGAATGGCGGAATAATAATTTCTTATTCGATGCTTCAAAAAAGTAATAAAGGACATTTTGCACACTGCTCGTTTTGTTCTTCGCCCCAAGGGGACGAAGAAAAGTACTGCCTAAGTCACAAAATATCTGCGCGTATGATAATCGAGTAGGGTGTACTTATCATGGCATCCTTTCGGCCCCATGCGCGATTGGTTCATGCTTTAGCGTGCACTATCGAGCTTTGGAGCACGTGGGAAGTTTGAAGAGCACGAAAGAAGCGTACGAGTTAACTCGATAGTGCACAGCTAAAAGCATGAACCAATTGTTTTAAAACATAGCCGGTGGAATTGTGCATCAAATCCGACGCGAAAAACGGACAACAATGTCAGAAGTGATTGTTCGCGGTAAGCGAAGTATCAAGCAAAATAGGAATTGGTTTTCCTTTGGAATTTGTATCTGTTTCTTGTTACACCAAGCTACAATAAAAACCAAGTTTTCTTTGAGTTTAAAAAGAAACCATTTAAAAGTTATTTTCGTGAAGGAAAACCAGACAGAAAGACCGTTATCGCTACATCTGTAATTTGATGTAATTAAATGTGTTAATATTTTTCCGTGAGTTTTACTATTTCCCAGAACAATTGTAAATATATATTTAACAATTTTAAAACGGAAAAATTTAAGCTTTCCTTTGAAGGTTGAAACAGACCAGTTTGTCATTTGTTTGGTTTTACCAGAGTGTCTTTCTGTCAAAATGTTTTGCATTTCACCCTCGGACAGTGAAGCGAATCGTGACGGCGCTGATGCAGTCTCCTTTTCCGTTGTTTTTTCTCATTTTCTGCCTCATTTAGGAACTCTAGCCCAAGGGAAAAGGTCGGAAAATTGTCTTCGTTTGAGGATTGGTGGGCCGAGTCTGTTTGTATCCATTATTGTCGCGAAATATATTATATTTCCCCTCGCTAACGATGGCCGCTCGCGCGAAAAAAAAAATTTCTGGCGAAGCGTGCACTATCGGGATTTTGAGCACGCTTACGTATACCGAATTTGATTGCGCGGCTCTGCTAGTTATGTTATAGATAAGTTTCATAAGCAATACTCTACAAGATAGCGAAAGCTAACACCAGTTAAATAAATTTTTCATTTTAATTAATGTACTCACGCATATAAATTTCGTAATGAAAAAGTAAAAAAAAAGTGCTTGGTACATGTAAGAAAATATATATTACACTTTAAAAATTTTTATTCCAAGTTGGCAAAACAAATTGTTTTGCACTGATAAAGATTTCAGGGCAAATTATGTTTTCATGGTTGTTAATTTTGTAATCCTACAGTCAAAGCAGGGTGTTTCATTGTGTGTTTTGCCGATGAGAAATTGTCGCGTATAGAAGCCAGTCATCAGTCACTCAGGCTGATAACTATATTGGCAACAATTTTACTAACTACTGAAACTAACAAGATATCAGCTAACACTGAGTTGAACTACTTTTCTTTACAAATCCAGCCAGAAAATAGAAATAAAATGGTACGACCTCTTTCGTTATATTCTTATATCTAGATTTTTATTCAGAAAGTGGTGAGTTTTTTCTTAATCCATGATTTCCAGCGCCTGTGACCCTCCCCATGTATGGACATCACTAGTTGGCCACACCCCTGAGGTATTATTACAAATGTTCCTTAATACTGCTTCTGTTGTAGCCTCATCCAGTGTATTCAGATCGGACAGGGTCTCGTCATTTTCATGATTGAGATCTGCAAATGTCAAGCCTGCATCAAGTATTGTCATTTCATGGTCTTCTGCAACCCTGGAGTTGTTGCTTGTCCTCACTTGGGGCACGCCCCAGTTCGAAGCAGTTACATTTGATTGTTCAGCACTGAGCATAGTTGTAAGGTTTCTTCGTGCAGAAAAAGCACTGTCTTGAGTTGGCCTTGACCCGTTGTTATTGACATCACCATGGAGAACTCTGTTGCGGAGCTCCTTTAACCCATTCAGATGTTGATTTGACTGTGTCTCCATGGGTGATGGAGTCAGGTGACGAGGGCGTGAATTACTCTGTGGAGTTAAGGGATGAAATCTCTGATCTGTCAGTGCATGCTGTGTTAAGGGAGGAACTGATTGGCTTCGTTGATATGAAGGTGGAGGCATCTGCCCTGAAGAAGTTGTGGCTTGGTTACAGATTGACTCCAGTTCTGGAGAATAATCCATTGTCTGCATGATAGATGCTTGTGAAATGTGTCCATTATCTGGTGTACTACTGTATCTGCATGATTTTGCAATAATTCCTGAACTTCTGCAAAATGTCCAAGAAAAATAATCAAAGCAATTAGTGTGTGAAAAATAATACAAATTAGTAATCTCACTGGCAGAGAGGTTACTTTGTAAAGAAACTGTATTTCGTTAGCAGCCTATAAAAACTCCATTGAGTTACCAACTTGAGTATGATAACTGAAAGTTAACTTCCATGGTGGGTTTTTCTTCAAACCAGTAACTATTACCCTTAACAACCAAAAAATCAATATGCAAATTCTCCATACAGTTCTCTATACATTTTGTAAGGTGCTGACAAGGAGAATTTGTCTCTCAATCACGAGCTTCTTTAGTTGGTGATCAATGCCTTTATTCTCATGGCCTTACTGTTTGACTCAGGGCCAATACTGTAAGGAGGAATTAGATGCTAGTCACTCCTGACGGTTTAAGCAAGTTGAAACACAACTGCATCACTTCCAATCTGTTTCATGAGCTAAATTTATTCAGTGAAAAATGACAGCTGTCATTGCAAAACCTACCCCTGCTTAGACTGTTGCTGAGACATATGCCCATCACCATCAGATGATGGTGGACTTGTCATGTTCACACTTTGTGTGAAGCCTGTTTGAGCCACATTCTCTGTATTGTTGATCCCTAAAGGAAGCATGAATTCTTGTCCCCTCTGTGTGACACTGGGAGAAATGGGGTTCAGCTGCCGACCACACCCTGGAGAGGCCATTGTTGGAGAAGTAACAAACTGCTGTGGTGCAATGCGCTGAGGTGTCCTTGGTGATGGCAAGGGGTAGGCAAATGAACCAGGTCTGCGATTGGATGTCGGAGTGGAGGGTGGGTTCTGATTTATCAGACGTGGTTGTTTACTGGGTGACATTGGCACATCATTCACTCCCAGCTGTGATACTGCTTGTTGGGACCAGTCTCCATTCAACAACTGGCTAGGGTGAGTGGCAGTAGGCCGCAATGTAGGAGGACTTGTCTCCCCCCTGGTGACCCTCTGCTCTTGGGAACTATTCGGAATTGGCGTGAAAAGAAAGCGTGTTGGCTCAGCTGAGTTTGGAGTGTGTCTTGGAGTTGCGCTTGCAGAGCTTGGAGTAACTGGATGGTTTTGAGGTGTGCCTGGGGCATTGAACTTAGGAGATGACTGAAAAGGTGATGTTATTTGAGGCCCAGCAGGTTGAATGGGTGTGGTGGGGGATATCATGGATGGAGTAATGGGTCTTATCTTTGTTGGATACCCACTGGGAGGGGTGGTCGGGTTACCACCAGGTTGCTGTTGTTGGTAAAACTGTCCCATCTGAGCAGGGGGGCTTTGAAGTGATGGCTGTATTGGTTTGGGTTGAATGTGAACTGGCTTTGGCTGACCTGATATACTGACCTAAAACACAACACAAAGGTGTCTAAGCATTAAGTATCCCTAAGCACATTGTAATTCAGATTAGCTGCGATGATGGTGGAATTAAACTTTCTTTCTTCTTCTTCTGCTGCAGAATTTAGCCCAAGAGGAAATACTACATTTGATCAATAAAACCCATAAACAACATCAAATGATATTTACTGGTTTAGGATTCTAACTATCATTTAGATCTTGAAATTTTTCAGTTTCTCCTCAGTAACTGAACAGGATTGTGGAATAGATGACAGGTGTGAAACCAAATAGACCTTTTCTTTAAGATTGAGGAGACAAAATGTATTCAGAGAATTTCCTTTCATTCATACAAAAATATCTAATCCACATATTAATCCAAGGGATAAACTGAATTGTAGTGACTGAGAGAATTTCAGACAATCCATTAGGGCATGGACTCACATACACCATATTTCTTGTTTATCTTTATCACTGACCTAAAATAAATGTGCTTGATTGCACTGTGTAGGGACAATGGAGATAAACCTACCAGTGTCTTAAAATTAAGAAGCTGTTGTGGAGCACTACACAAAGCTTGCCCTTGCTGTAGCATAGAGTTTACGGGGATTTGTTGAATCTGCTTTTGCTGTTGTCGCTGAGGAATTTTCTTAGGTAACTGTTGTGACTGTCGCCGTTTATGTGTCAGCACCAGTTGCTCCTCTACTTGCTTTAAAGGTGCAATCAATGACACTGATGAGTGGCCCACTTGAGGGGTGTTAAGATCAGAGAGTACAACATATGCTGCCATAGATTTGCTAGAGACATAACTGCCGCTAACAAGAAACTTGGCCAATTCAATGAGAGTACTGAACACTCGACCAAGAAGTTTGTTTGCCCATTCGCATACAAGTAGACAAGCAGCTGACAAAGTTTGATCCTCTTCAATTTTGTCACCTCCTGCTAGGTTGTTTGCCGCATTCATTGAACTCTGAAAGACAAGTAGAGTCCAGGTATGCATTAATCTATGAGTTCCTGTGAGAACAAACTTAAGTCTGATGGAGTTGAAAGTTAAAAATTTATACCAAATAACTTTCAAGTATTATGCTTGGGGAAGATGATCATTCATTAATCTGTAAAGTGTAACATTCAAACTGGTGCCTCTGAGTGTAAGCTCAATTGCATTAGAGATCAAGACAGAATTTCTCCTTACAATATCAATACAACATCAAACGAGCAAGTGATGAGAATAACGAAAAATATCAATTTCTTAGTACTAACATAAAAATTTGGTAGCAGACAGTAGAAAGAGAATTACTAATGAGATCTTGGAGTGAGAAAGTTATAAAATGCTTGTTTACCTTTTCTTTTTCACTGGGTGAAGGAATTTGAAGGGCTGGGAGGGTGGGTGGCTTGACATTCTTTTTTCTCTGGATTCCACTGTAACAGTACTTACATTAGGTTAAGGTGCATAACTCGCGCGTCACATGGTAATCCATGACTCAGATTACTTCTATCCTTAAGTTTACATGCTGAGAAGTTTATGTTACAATAAAATGGTCAATAATAACAGAGAGGATTTCTCCTAAATAACCCTGAAGAATGCAGGGATTTGTTAAAAAAATTTAGAACTTGTTTATAAAAAAAAAACAATTTGAAAGGATATTTGGAATTGCCTCGTGTACCAAGCCTTCTTGCTTTTACTCTTGGGAACACACACTTGATTATTTTCCCAAAGTCAGGGGCGCTCAATGTTCGTGCAGCATTCATGCTCTCACAATGGGCTCTGAAATACACATCAAATTATCAATTTTTAAGACATGTCTGAATAACTGCATCTAACAAATCTAAAAAAAAAAAATAGATTACGTATCTATGCAAAACTCTGATTATCATGAACGCTTTAACCTTAACTAACAGGTTTGTTTTGTGTCGAATGCTCAAATTAAACCCAGCCATTAATATCAACATTACTGTTTATACAGCTTGATTTTCTGACTTTCTTTAGCTGGTTTGGCTATCTCTTTGAAGGACAAAAACATTCCATGGTGGTGCTTCTGCTATTCACAATTTTCTGATCTTCAAAGTACATAGTTTGTTATCAAATAGGAATCACCAAGTTCCTTACTTGTATTCATCATAAACCTCATGTTTTGGAAGGGTAGAGTTATTATCACACTCCTCCAAATGACAGCGAATCCTTTGAAAAAGATAACAAGAACATGAAAAATTAAATGTGTGAAATGATAAGAATGTATAAAATGATAAAAAAAATTCTGCTAATACCAACTCACCAATGAAAAGCTTGTGTTTGCTCTGCTCTTGTTGTGGAGATGGGAAGAGCTTGATTGCTATGAGAATAACTACATATTAATTCTTGCTTAATCTTTATAATAATAGGACCAAGTGGAGTCCAAATCAATCTGTAATCATACAAGTGATCGACAACATCAGACAACTGCAAGTCCAATTTGTTCATCACAAATGTGACTACCAACTGAATTGGATGACAAAAAGTCCTCTTACCAATTCATCAAAACTTACAACAAAATTCAAGAAAGAAATGAAACTCAATTGTACTTTTTCATAAAAAACAATAGTTAACTCAATGAAATGCACCATAACAACAAGCGCATATGATGTGTCCTGTCCACTTACACAGGCATGACGTGTTAACTGTCCCTTTAACTGTCCTATGACACTGTCCGATTATAAGCATGATGCATACATTGTCTCATTGGTGCTCAAATCAGGCTACTGATAACAAATCGCATTTGAGAATTTTGTTATAGTTTTGATTGATCATTATATACATGAACATTAAGATACCCTACTTACTCATGTATGAGTCCACCTGTTATGATCAAAAATCAGCCCAAAAAATCACCCTCAACTTCTACATGAGTCAAACACAAAGACCTTAACGATTGCCAGAAGTCCATTAGGAAAACCGAGTTTAAAAAACCAGTTCTAATTGTGTTCAAGTTTTGTCAGTTATCATTCTTCATCAACAAAAAGTTTGAAATAATGAATTTGAAATTGCTTAAACACAGTGTCACTGCTGTTTTCGGTGCAGAACTTTTGTTTTCATCAAACAATTACAGAAGCTTAGTGACATGGCAAATTCTGTGGTTATGCAGTCTTGTTTGTTACACATGATCCTTTGAAGCTCTTTCGTTTAACTTTGTACCACTAAATCTCCTTTTAAACTCAAAATTAAGATGAAGGTCAGTAAAAAGCGAGAAGATTTCATTTTCAATACCATTTAAAAAATATGGTAAAGTACTTCTCTAGTAAATCAAAGTGCTCATATGCATGTTTGCTTAAATTGCAGTGATATAAACAAGTGCTATTAAACTTCGCAGCATGCTGTTACATTTTGCTCTGCAGTTTTTTTTATTTCAATGTGTTTTCAAAACATTCTCAGAAATAAGACATCAACTTTTTGGGAAATTTCTATTGGTCTGAATTTTACTTCTTTAACTAAAAATGATGGAAAACCCACTTTTTGACCTTGAAAACGGGGGGTTGACTTATAAACAAGTTCGACTTATAAACAAGTAAATACAGTATTTTTATTATACGACTCAGGCAGTCAGAGGGCCAATAACTAAAATGAACCAATCAAAATGCTCTATTGCCGGTCCAATATTCTCTAAGTATTGGACCGGGCACTATCCCAAATGGTCCCGAATGATACCACACTTGTGTTCCTTTGAACTTCAGTCGTATAATAAATCTCTTATTAACCAAGCTTGCTCGGGACCGTACTGGAAGAATATCGGCCCTCGGTCTTTTTTGAACGGACCTCGCTGCGCTGGGTTTGTACTGTCAAGACCTCGGGTCGATATTCTCCCAGTACGGCCCTCGTGCTTGGTTAATAAGATATATATATTCCACAAGAACTATTTGCTGGAAGGTAAAGGTAGTTAGCATGGGATGGATGTTGAAGAAAAGGGTGGGGCACATGGGGTAAGGGGTGAAGAGTGGTTGTCATATATCAGGAGCACATATAAAGGGTATTGCCCTCTGCATGGAAGAAACAGGGGAGTAAAACAAAACAGTCATTTTCACAATGCTTGTGGTTTACATTCCAAACCAGAACTATTTGTTACTTACTTATCAAAGTCATCTTTGGCATCTGTTGCTGTCTCTCCAGGTAGTCGAAGGTAAAGCAACAATTTTTCAGTATCTGACAGCTGTTGCACTTCTTCCTAAAGGAATGCACAGTTTTCACAATTACAGTACTTAAGAAAGAATCCTGTTGTTAAACTCTGAGATGAAAAATAGTTTTGATTCTTCAAGTTTGAGCAAATTGCTTTCATGATGATGAATTTCAGAATAAGAACAATGTTAGTTCATAGCAATCAAAAAACAACCTAGTGCTAAATATTTATTTAACTGCCCATTCCTATAATTTCACAGCAAGAGGTGGCAAAATATTTTAGCACATGAGTATGATGTGCAGGGTATTGGACTATTAGGAACTTACCTATACTGATATTTTCGTTGCTCAATTATTTGATTAATTATACTTAAAAATGGAAGATAATTACCAATATTTTTTGAATCCGCTCTTGAATTTCTTTGCTAGAAAAATAAAAATGAGGTTTTAATGCATTTATTCACCAATCATTTATACTTAGTCTGAAATGTACCTTATACCTCCTTTTTAATATGTTGAGACTTGCAAATTAAAATTGATCATAGGTGCATGAGCCTATGGAACACCATTCATCACCCATTTATTACATCCAATCAACTGAAAATTCATGGTACTGAGCATATTACTGAGTCTGGTGAGTAATATCTTGAAGGTAGATTTCCTATGTTTTAGCTTAGACATATCGTGGAGAGAAAAACATTTTCAAAATCAGTGAAGTGTGAATCTGCATTCTCAATGAGGCATCGACAACAATCGCCTTCATTAGTTATGGGATATCATTCCCTTTTCCAGCTGGTTCGGTACTTTGTTATAAAAGGCTCTGGAGGGTTTTAATTGAGTGCATTTATTTTCATTCTGTTCAAGCTAGTTCATGAAATTTGAGCAGTAAAAGGTTTTAAGAACATTTGCCACTTAAAAAACAAAAGCATATTTTTCTGTAAAAAGGTGAGTGATTATTATCAACAAGATGAAGTCAGAGCATCGAGCACCTGGGTCTGTTGTTGGTTTATGATAATGCATGCTATTAATAAATAATTCTTGTTCTTTAGAATCCCACTCATGAGCTACTTTACACAATTTGTATGCATGATTTAAACTGATAGCATTGTCCTTCAAACTTCAATAATGTTTTTAAAAATAAAAAAGAGAAAATACCAACAATGGACAGATTTTATACACATGTGATTTTGACTTGTCGAGATAAAAGAAAATTACTTAATACGAAACTTTTTTTTAAAAATAAACAACTTAAAGTGATTTAATTACTTGGTGGAACTTTTCCAAAGTGGACTTTATAAACGACTTTTAATTCTGTGTTTAAAATTTGGAGTCCTTTAGAGTTAACATAATTTAATATTTTACAAAGGAACTGAAAATATTGCAGAAAGCATGCCCACCAATGGAACTAAATACTTATAAAAATTCAAATTCGTAAGTTATTATTTACTTTAGGTGAAATCTTCATTGCATCCATTTAGCACTTACTAATTATACTTGATGGCGAAATCCTACGGGCACTTTAAATTGACTCAGAAAATGATTTGCTTTATTAAACAGGCACATTTTTAGATCTCTTTCTCTTTTAAACTCCTGGTATGTTTTAAGCCAGGCTCAGCTCTCGTTACTTTGTCGAATTTTATAAACTATAATCACAAGAATTTGCTTAAAATGTAAATAAACGGTTCTTTTAACTGACCCTAAACCTTGGTGCAGGTGAGCTCTTTTATCAAAACAACAGGCTCATTGCTCTTAGATTTGAATTGTTTAAAGTGAAGGAAAAAAAATTCATACGTCGCCAATATTCTGGTCAATATGTCGCAAGCAATAACTTAAATATCTCGAGGTTGACAATGAATCGCCTGTTCCCACGACCCGGTGGATAGCTGAACACAAGAACACATGTTAAGACAAAGCAAGCAGACATGGCGCTATTTTAACGCACCTTCACATTGTCTCAAATGCAATAAGAACTCTGTCGATGATTTATTCCAAATAAGAGAAAAACTCGTCAATTTCACCATCGACATTTAACAAAGATTATTTTGTCGCGACCCATCTTTTTCCTTCTGACTCGTTCGAGGAATCAAATTCTTCGTCATAATTAACCCTCACGCTTCGTCTAAAAATGCAAAAACATTTATTCAGCGACAAAAAAGTCGATTAACCATGAGGTGTGCTCTTTAATTTTACCCGCGAGTTTCCCGCAAAATTCGATTTCTCTGCCTCATCCATAATATTTTACCAACCCATACTACACTAATTTAACTCATACCAAACGGCTGTGGTGTTACCAAAAATGCCCATTGAACTAACAAAACAACGGTTCTTCTTTTCCCTTTTTTTGTCATTTTCTGAGCTGTCACGTCGTTGAAACTCGCCCAAGAGAAAACGCACTGCGAAATAATTGCTTGCGTGAAAAGCTTTTACACCGTGATATTTGACCAAAAGCACCTGACTTTTTAGCCGTCCTAATCGCGACCTCAATTCTAAAATACACGTGTTTTATTGAATTCGATCGCCTACGATGCCGACTTATATGACAGCCTGTTTGTTTTACAGACTTCACTTCATTGCCTCGCTCACCACAAACTTTTCATGTAATGATCAAAAATGGCAACCTATTTTGGAAGGTACTCTTTTGTTAAATACATTGCCAAGGAATCGAATCACGGCGTTACAACGTCCATAAGGTTGAAATTACTTCTGCAATCTAATGAAATTATACTCCGCAGGGGTCTTCCCGTGGATTGTAACGCCGTGTGAATTTTCTCAAAATAAAGTAGTCCCATCAGGTTAAGTTCATTACATTTCAAATCAGGTAAAGTGCTCCACAACCGGCAACATGTCAATAGTTAGCGTACAAGGTCGCCGATCAAACGTTCTAAACAAATGTTATTACCCGCAGAAGATAAATAGAAGTTTTTACGGGGTTTTGAACGGTCACCGGCTTATTTACACGCTCCACTGAGCAAATGGAAAACAATTCGAAATCATGCCGTCAGAAATTAAGACGGAACATCATTTGCATCTCATTCATTTAACAAAATAGCATCTAGGGCGAAAGAGAATATGGCAAAAACTTTCAAAAGACTTGAAACACCAACAGACGCAAATTTATCCTCTCATCTCAAATTGAAAGACGAAAACTTACATATCTTATCCGATGGAATAGAAGTTGCTTCTGTTTACAAAATAGAAACGTACTTATTACATTTCAAACTATCGAGCTGCGCATTTTAAATTTAAGTGTTAAATAAAACAATTTTGTAAACAGACGAATTTTTTTCAGTCAGTACCAATTTCTGCGGAGGCATCAAATCCCGAAGGTGGAATGAAAAGAATGTGCTAGAAAATTCACCGATCGTGCTAAGTTTGCGAATGAATGAAATATTTTTTAGAGCCACGTGTAGGAAGGAAAATCCTTAAACAACTTCCCGCATTCCAGGGCCACATCTGCCCAAAGCAGAAACCCACATGGCTCTGGCAAAACGACAATTCCTCGACAAAAACAAACTCAAATTACGTACTTTCATCAGCTAATCTAGTTTACACCTTGCAATTACAAGAAAACTGTGTGCAAAGTCAAAAAGTCGAAATGTGGTAACATCTACTGCTACCCATATCGATCAAAACACCGGAGGGCTTCAAATCAAACCCGTCATAAATTTAAAGAACACGCCTTCAACTAGGAATTACAAAAAGCACATTCACTGATGTGATTGTAAATGAACACAGCTGCACGCGACACATTTCCGATCTTGCACGCAGCTATTCCAGAACAAGTCTTGTAGTTAATTATCAGTCAATCCATACTCGATCGACACACGTGAGTTTACCTTACGAACGACTGCAAGGCTTGCTCGAGGCCTGCGTTGGGGTTATCTGCCTCTTCCAGCTCGCAATCTACTGGGCTCGGAGCAGGGGACGATTTCAAAGGCATTGGGATCGTAGAAGACTGAAGAAGTTCGCTGTGTGATGATGGGATTAAATCAACAGTGCCTGAAGTGCTTGTAATTTGCTCTGCGCTAGCAGGCTTCGATCTCTCAACCATCATTTCACCAGAACTCTGCATGGCTATCACCAGAAATTCTGAGGGGTAACCTTCTTCACTTCAAGTTCCAGATCTTGGTCAAGTTCATAGCAAGCCACGATCAACCAAATACTCTCATCCAAATTAACATCTCGGGTTATTAATCAAACAGCACATGGGATCACGGGTGTTTACGCATGCGTGAGAGCACGTTCCAAATGAAGTTTGACAGAACAAGGTGTGAGCAACCAATAGAATATGCTGGAGTAATTAGCATTGTCCTTTATCCAATAATGTTTTGTCATTAAAATAGCATAGCACCGACAACCTCTGATTTCATTCCAAACGCAGGGAAGGGAAACTTTTGCATGCCTGCTCATGGTGGGTTTTCACTGATCTAATAAACCACTGTTTGCGCCTTTTTCAAACATGGGAGTAAGTCCACTTTCGCAGCTTCAATTGAGACTAAGGGGCTCTGCGGTAATCAAACTGAAGCTGCGCAGAAAATAAACTTTAGCCCTGTCTTAAAAGGAACGTAATGAAGTTGTATACAACTCCCAATGTAGGACGCTTGATAACGCCGCCAATCTCTAGGGATTTATGTTTCAAAAGGAGTGCTTCGCTTAACCAAACTTAACTTGAAGCCAAACATACCGCAATGGTTTCCAAATCCCTCGTTTTGAACCTCATATGATATGGAAAACACCTTTAAAACATAACTACAGATGAATTCTCCTCCAAATGAAAATATCGCTTAAAGCATCAGGTACGAGAGAGTTTTTTCTGATGCTGTTTTTCTTAAGACTGATTTTTTTTCCAGCTATTTATGTCAACAATATTTTGGATAAAGAAATATGAGGTCAATATTGCAGAACTTCTTTCATAATTATAGTTTAGTAGCTCAAGATAAGACTGGATATCAATCTTGAAATTTACTGGGAACTCAACGTCAGGTATTCAAAAATGTAAACCAAGTTACAAAGCAAAAACCAGATAAAGAAACAAAGCAAAACGTCATCCCAAAGGGTTATTCACTGCGTACCAACAGTTATAAATGGTGGCTATTGTCAAAAGCTTCAAGAGCTGGACGCTCACTTCGGCATAGGGTAAAATTTAGACGCCGATGCGAACTTGACCCTAACAACAACAGAAGCAACAAAAATGTCACCATCAGTCTTTATTCGGAAGCTATAATAGAAGAATAGCGACCTCTATACCTGAGACACCTTGATCTGTACTATATGTGCCTCGTTAACAGCGAAAAAGTAAAGCGAGGGAAGCATTCCGTTAATTTCCCCGGCGCGCGCAATACTTTGAAGTCTTGTGTCTATATAGGGCCATTAAACGTCGGCAAGGAAAGGTTCACTTTTTTCCGCCTTCTCATTTGATATATATGCTTTCTTAAGCATATATACCAGTAAGTTCTAATCCTTAACAGGTGCCTCTTGACAAATTTTAAATTTGGAAAGTTTTCTATGACATTTTATGGCATCCTCGTCTCGAGTAGGCGATGGTCAGTTTTCTATGACAGCTTAGGTGTTCAAATACAACAACAAGACTTTTCGCCAAAAAATTAGTCTTGTCTTTTAACGAGGAGACCTTAAATGGTAAAACTTTCATAGCTTTAAGTAAGCTGAATAAACAGGAAAAAAGATTGGATCACATATTCCGTTTGAATAAGCCTTCAGTTTACTTATTTCCTTCAGTCTTAGTTAAACCAGCTGCTCGATAACAGAACTTTCAATAAGTACTTCCTCATTCGGCAGAGGTCATGCTTAGCAGCCATAAGCAGGGAGGTACCACTTAAACTTCTAGAATGCGGCTAAGTCATGGTGGCTGGATTCGAATCAAATGTATCTCGCCCTCTTTAGACATGCTGTACATTGTCATTTTACTGATTTGCACCAAAACAATCGCTTCAGTCAGAAAAAAGACGACTTAAACACTTGTAAAACTGACGATAGTTCCAGTTTAAGTGTCCACACTTGAATTTGCAAAGATCCCAAATTAACAGCTGCTTTTTCTCTTGCTAAAATCCTGCTCCCTCCCAATTTATACTCAACGAATTCTTTACTAACTTTTATGGTGTTTTTATCGCAGGAACTGTCAATTCGTTCAGAGTCTACACGAAAATTATAGAAACCGCTTCCCTCTTTATACTGATTGACGTTTTGACCACCTGCTTGACAGGAAGTCGTCTGCGCAGCCACGACCCATCACTTTATCATATTTCTTGAATAATACTGATGAAACGGAAAGTGATAGAAATCACACAAACATGCAACCATGCAATTTTGCAGATAAGTCCTTTCTCATCGTGATTTTCGTTCCACAACTCTTTAAAGATACGACTAACTGCTCCCGTTCGTATTTACAATGTATTATTATTATTATTATTAGCGTTTACAATTTCGGCCAAGGCTGTTGTTTTCAACTCAAATCCCAAGTCGCCCCAAAAGAATACCAAATTCCGCATACCGCCACAACAGATCATTATCGGGATCTTCCTCAATGTAGAAGTTTCCTGGGAAAGATTTCCGTATAACCCCATACCAATCAAAAACAAAGCCGAAGTCCCATAGGCAATCTGTTGTTTTGCCTCTGTTTTCTTTTATCCAAGAATTGTACGCATAATGAAGTATGGGGTTATACGGAAATCTTGCCGTTTTCTCTTTCTAAGCAATTGAAAGATTAATGTACGAATAATGAAATTGAAAGTTTGAATTCAAGAATGATCTTTAAAGTTAAGACCGGAAATCCAACTATCAAGTTTTGGAGTTATATTGGGAATAACGATGACACCGAAACTAAAAGTTCCTGCGTCTCAAGTCAGACAATCCTTTTAATAATAATAATAATAATAATAATAATAATAAACAATCTTTAAGGAGGAAGCGCCCGTCACGTAAATACGTGGTTTTCAGGGAGGTCCTCCGTAAAAATAAAAAGTATTAAAAGCTAAAATAAGAAATACAAATGTCACAGATCTAAAACGGCGTATATCTAAAGTTTTATCCATCATTTAAATATTTATCCATTAAGAATCTCGTAAGGGTTTCCTTAAAAATTGTGCATGGCATTGGCCTTCTTAAAAATACTGGGAGGGACATCCAGTCATTTATAAAACGGAAGGAGGACACCCTCTTTCCGCATTCCGTTTTAGGTTTAGGCAGTCTAGGTAAGTAGCCATTTCTAGTTTTAATTTTCTGCTATGAAAAACTGTGACGATATAGTATCTATTACTGTGCACGTGCAAATGTTTGGAGCTCCTAGTTGAACAGTTTTTCATCTTGTAATCGGTCCGCAAGTTAAAGTTTGGAGTATTTCTTACCGTAATCTCGTGTTACAAAACATTGTCATACTATCATGTTAAGAAAGGCAATTAACTCCCACTAACCACGGGATATGGATAGAAGAAGACAGTGTGCAGGTCGGCCACTTGGTCTGGGTTCGTATTATGTTCGTTCTATTAGACAATTTTAGAAGTTTCGCTCTCCAGGGCCATAGAAGAAATTAAAGTAAAAAAGGAAAAGAAAAACTTCGAGGCTGTATTGGCAAGAGTTTTTGTTTACTCCAGGTCTTTATCGAATATAAAACAATAAAAGGTTTGAAGTACTTTATAGCCATTTCAATTAAAAGTTAAAATTCGTTTTTAAATATATTCTTAGTAGTTTGAATTCTGAGATAAATTTAACCAAATAAGACAAGTAAAAAATAAGATGCCTAAAAAGTTTGAGTATTCTCATTAGCTGTTTCCCGGATAAAGTATGGATATTATGAACAGGTGTTACATATTCTAAAATTACTTCAGGTGTAACACGTCCTTTACATCTTCGTGTCCCGGACCTTCCTGCTTTCCTCGTCATTTTACTGCATATTTTGATTACAATTCTCGCTTCTCTAACGCACGCATTACAATCTCTTAGCATGCTGTTGAGGGGGGAAGGGGGGTAGCGCCGGGTTCATTCTCAGTGGGAGAGGATGAAGTCTGTTCGACGCTACCGTACAGTTCGTTAAACGTCACATCAACACCTCTGTTACTAACTCCCAGTCCATCTTCATCTTCTGTCGACCAGCAGGATGGCGCGTTATCCATGATGGGAACTTTATCCTCTTTTTTCGTGCGTGAATCAGCTCGACGGCGCGCTTTACTATTCTTTTTTTCGGCTGCTGGTACTGCTGCTTCATACAGCGGGCTCATATCAGATGAACTCTCATACAAAGGATTAAAATCGCACTGACTGCGGTACGATGTAGCGGACTGGTACAGAGGGTTCATATCGGCCAAGCTACCAGACCCCCTGCTGACACTTCCCGATGGGCCTGCTTCATAGAGTGGGTTTATATCCGCACCCGTATTGTATAGAGGATTGTCAAGTTCTGTGGCGGTCTGGTAGATTGGATTACTAGTTCTTTTGTCATAATCAGTTCTTAGCGTTAAGGTATTCTCATAGTTGGGGTTATTGACAGATTTTATTGTCATCGATGTGGGTCTGTTTCCTGGGGATTGAACCACATCCAACGGAGTGGAATCTGGGTTCGACAAATGACCATATATGGGGTTGAGTGACACATGATCTTCCGTGTAATTTCCTTCGTCGTCAACTCTATCCACGCTTTCTAGTAGAAAAGAGGAAACAGAAAAAAATCAAGTAAATTTTGGTTTCATATTCAACTTAGAAGTCTACGAACAATTTTTTAGTTCCCGCGGCTTTGATCTCGCTAGCGCTCTGGATGAAGGTCAATAAAAAGTTTGTAAACAGACCAAATTGACTTGAATTATATCACTTACTTGAACATCTGGGAGATCTTACCAGTTTCTTCATGGACAAACTATTTGGAACGAAAAGAAAGACAAAAATAAATTAAAAAATTAATATAATGAATAAGTAGGTGAATAAATTAAGAGAAAACAAGCCAAAGTCATTTTTTGTGTTGCTGTAGAAAATGTTGCTATTCATCGTGGTATTTTGGATTAATGAAACGTTTAATCGTTTACCTCACGATGTAGAGTCAGGCTATCAATTGTAATAGCAGCTTATTTGGCTTCTGTGTTACACTTGGACGCAAAAAGAAAAACAATGCTACACAGACATTCCGCAAAATGTCTCAAATACAATGGCCAAGGCTTTCATGAACAGAAATATTGAAACAATAAACATTTAAATTGATTGTAAACATGTAGCTCACCCATTTCCTGTTCTGGATATGAACACGCGTTTCCTTCCCAAATAAACCAATACGATGATAAGAATAATTGCTACCATGGCAACCGCTACAGCGATCATCACTGGCGTCACTACAGAGGCAGAACCATCACCAGTCGACCGGCCAGAGTTGGACGAGTTATTACCAGGACTGGGGACAACAGTGCTCTTCGTGAAAACAACTGAAAAAAGAAACCACAAAAGAAAGAAGTCAGCACTAATCAAAGAGAGATGTACGATACTAGATACCATCGTGGCACACGGAGAAAATCTCCCTCCCCTTTAATATTCAAACTGCCAGATAGGCTCGATCGAGGCTACTCCCCAATTAAGGGAACAGAAAAAAAAATAACACAAAAACAAAACTAATAGTAAAAGTAAAACAGTAAAACAGACATAGTTATTTGAGTGAAAGTGCCCTCCCGGGTTTGCTTTTGGCCACACAACCCGGGTCTCATTATTAACCAGCCGAAAGGGTGGTCCCAGGTTTGACCTGGCTGGACTACTGTAACCACATACTGCAAAAAGGTCACCATTCGCGATGATTCAATTCGGGTAAAAATAGTAACCCTGGGTCGGGTAGATAGACTCTTAATATTTTAAAGTACCTTCTTCACAGAACTTTCCTTGAAATCCCGTCAAACAGTGACAATAACCAAATGTGTTATTACAAGTCGAATTATTCTCGCAAAGACATTTGTTCTCACAATTAAATCCGTAGGAACTTGCAGGACAAGCTGTAAAAGAATAAGACAAAATTGTTAAAATTTATCACGAACGTAGGACATAAAAAATTTACAACGAGGAATCGACAAACAAATAAGTAGACGAGCAAGTTGAATTTTAAGCTGCAGCCTGATCAAATTCGGGCTTCGACGGGGCTCGAACCCGTGCCTTCCAAAAAATGATCACAGGTAATCATACAGAGGAAAACATGTTAAAATTAATTTATGTTGGTCAAGTCTTTCTTTAACTTTTTCTGGTCGCCGGTTAGGGAGCCGAACAAGTTTCTTTGTTGTTTAGAAGGTTTTTAAACCTGACCGTGCAGAAAATTCGAATACACTCCAGTATTTCCTTTTTACTGTATCGCCAACAGTGCCGTTCATTTAATTCTTTCAGTCACGATTTGTAAACTAAAGACAACAGATTGTGCTCAGACAACAGATTATGCACGGTCAGGGATTTCCTGAAACAATATTAAAAAAAAGTTATTTACAGCTTTGATTTCACCAGCTTTCCTTTAGCTAGCCAGTCACCTCTACACATCAGCTGTAGACAGGTGCGTTTACACAGAGTTGAACTTGGAGACATTATTCAAACAGGTAATGAAAAAACAGACAATTTTTCTCGGCGCAGAGAGAGAGGGGGGAGGGGGGGAAAGCCGGAGGGATAGAGCCCTATTTGTACGACCGTTGATCAGTTACATGACTGTCTTTACAGGTCACACCAGTCACGGTCTGTTCAACGTACTTTGGTTGCAGTACTGACTAGTAAATCCTGGTTCGCAGTGACATTCTCCGTTCCTATGATCACATTCTTTGGCCATATTAGGCATCCTGCATTCACATTCTTTCTTGCACTTGTAACCATAGTAACCTGCCGAACATGCTGAGAGAACAACCTATGTCAACACATAACACATAAAACTCGTGTCTGGTTTCTTAAATTCTTCACCCCCAAGATCTCTTTAGTAATTCTCCTAATTGTCTGATTTCTGGAATTTACACCGAAAAATATTGTAATCGTTGCAAAAATAAATGAGTTAAAATCACTTTTTTGTGCTACATTATCTCATTTTTTTTTACAAAATACTAAAACATCTACTCATCTCTTCGCGACTCGGTAAATATCCGTCCCCAGCCACCTCCACTTTGGTGAGTTTGACTTACCTACATGTGATAGGATCGTTTCTGTCTCATGAACCTTTAATTAATTATACCTAACTATACTCTGTACACGTGATATTCTTACTTTTATCACATGTATCTCCTGTCCAACCCTCCAGACATGTACATGCTCCAGTCACGTGATCACAATTCTCTGTTGACTCTTCCACGCACTTGCAGTCTTGTAAACACTTTGCACCAAATTTTCTCCTTGGACAAACTAGGAGAGGAAAAAAATTATTGTCTTGTTTACCATTAGTGAAGAATGTCCCACAATCAATTTTAAAACCTTTTGGCGTGTATTTTGTTTTAGAAAAGATCTCTAGCGGTTAAAAAAATAATCAGGAACATGCATCCTGACTCTACCAAAAGAATTGATTTATTTTATAACAACATCGTCACTATAGAGCTTGTAAACTGAGTTTCGTACAACCAAAACCAAAATAATCACTGTGGCCGATCAGAAGACAGTAAAAAACCCTTAAGAGCCAACAAGAACTCAAAATAAAACCAACCAAAACTAAAATAATCCCCGTGGCCGATCAGAAGACAGTAAAAAACCCTTAAGATCCAACGAGAACTCAAAATAAAACCAACCAAAACCAAAATAATCACCGTGGCCGATCAGAAGACAGTAAAAAACCCTTAAGAGCTAACGAGAACTCAAAATAAAACCAACCAAACTGCCTAAAGCGCGGGAAAAACGCGGACGACCAAGTCTTGAACGGTTTTTTTATTGCATCTGATTGGTTGAGAGTGACACGAATTTTTCTGGACCAATCACAGAACAAAGTAATGTAAAACAAAGCAACACTCAATTGAAAATTGCTCAATTGAAAGATGAATCCCCCGAAGCCATTCAATCCCAAGATCCCTTTCAATCCCAAGATCCCTTTCAATCCCAAGATCCTTTTCAATCCCAAGATCCCTATCAGTCAGTAATCCTCCCTACTATGTGCCCTGCAGTGGTTATATGTGAGTTCTGAGAGTTTTGTATTGGATCAAAGAATAATCCCCTTGTTGATATTTTTGTTTGCTTGATATTGTATTGATATTGAAAGGAGAATTCTGTCTTGGTCAATCATGGGAGCTGGAAGGTTAACCTCAATTGTATTCCTTAGTCTATCTATTCAAATACGTACAAAGCGTGCACTCTTGCCCAGTCCATCCAGGCTCACAAGAGCAACGTCCATCAATAGGGTCACATGATATAGTATTGTCTTTGTAGCACTGGCATATTGTCTGGCAGCCAAGTCCATAATATCCACTGTCACATGCTGAAAATAGTTTTATTTTTGTATAATCTTCAAAAAAGCTATTACAACAAACTTGTAAAAAGTAAACCTATTACAAACAACAAAACAAAACAAAACCTATCTGCGCCAAATTCAACGTTTATAATCATTTATTCAGCGATGTTTCTTGGCATTTGATGTTTGCTTCGTTCTTTGCTTTTTTCTTTCCTAAAGGTAAATGTAACTTACGTTCATTACATTTCACTCCCTTCCATCCTGCATTGCAAGTACATTTTCCAGTGACATGATGACATGACGAGTCGTGTAAACAATCACAGCTGCTGTTACACCCTGGACCATACCATCCATCAGGACAGCCTGTAAAAACAAATGATTAATCTACTAGGCTGACGTAGCACTGTAGTCGCTAATTTCACACTTTATTTCTTAGCTCACAATCGAGATCAATGTTATGATTCGAATGTATGAGCCTTTGGAATCCGCAACAACGCTAACTGAAAAACTTCAACAACCAACATGTCCGACTCAGAACAAAACGTTCCACGTGTTTTCTCCTCGCTCGCTATGCCTTATGGGAGGCACAGGCCTCCCAACACTAAAAACAAGAAATTCACCCTTTTCTTTTTTTTTTGTAAATGTTCAACAAAAAGGTAACAACAAGCACTATTACCTGCGAACAACGACATACTGTCATACTCTTAAAGGGTTAAAGGAACGTCTAAGGTGTCAAATGGTTAATTTGTCTGTCTGTCTGTCTGTCTGTCTGTGCATCTGTCTTTCTCTAAGTCTATATGTGTCTGTGTGTCTCTGTGCGACTCTCTGAGGAAAGACAATGATCGATGCATCTAAACCGGTCGCCCGACATTTGAATCTTTCTAATCATTCTGAACAACAGATGGCAGTCTGTGGCCTTTTCTACATCCAGACAGTTCAGAGCTGGAAAACTCTGGAACAAAACTTAATCTTTCAAATCGGTACTCCTCAACCCCACGATATCAGTGAACGCTTTTCATTCACCAACTTTATTCAAGAGTTTTCCACGTTAACTTGTTCCCAGCTCCACACATCTGTATATAGACCATTCATACAACCCATAATTTCTATTTGCTCTGACAAAGGACTCGCTCGAAAAACGTCAGTTTAAGAAACTTTCTGCGGTGGCCAACTTTACATTATCAACTCAGTTGTTAATGTAGATTTTCAAATGTCTTTCTGATGGTACCCCATAAAGCCCGCTGTCCATAAAGAACGTGTTGCCTGTATTAATTTAATTTTACCACAGAATTTTCAAAATTGTGTGCCAAGATTCGGGTCAATTTTATCACATCCGTGATGTAAAATAGATTACAAACGTAAAAAATATATCGTTGAGCTTTGTCACACTCTTTAAGAAAAGAAGGTTTTACAATGTATTCCAATTATCGTTTCGATTGAAAGTATCAGACTGATTGTTTTACCTTGCTCACAAAAGGTGCCTTGCCAACCTGACGTGCAGCCACAGGTACCATCCACTGGATCACATGAAGCACCATTCTGACACTTACAAGTCTCCTTACATTTAATGCCAAACCTTCCTAATGGACAGTCTGTGAAAAGCAAGTAATTCATTAAAAACATTCAAGTCATTAGTTCCTTTTTCCATTGTGACACAAATACACTTGAAAAAGTGAAATTCTAATCGGTCCCAACAAGGACAACAAGAATCAAACCTATGGTCTTGGAATATAAGTGCTTTGGATATTCTATCACCGATAGGAGACCAGAAGTACATTTAATAATGGGAAAAAAGTCTTGGCACACCTTTTTTACCCTGCTTGTCGTAGATTTTGCTTCCCCCTCCCCACCTCTAATAAAATGCTGAGTTTTCTCTATTTACAACCTAGCAGCTGCAATGTGAAATTGTTGGTGGGAAAGGGGTCCATAAATCAACGAGAACTCATAAATAGACTGATTTGAAATCCTGAGATTTCCAATTAGTACAGGGTTAGAAACTGTTCAGATTTAGAAGTCACGTGACACGTCATTGCAACAGCTTTTCCAGTCAAGCAGAACTAGTTATGATCTTACTGTTAAAGCAGTTTGGCAGCATGAAACCAGCTGGACAGTCACAGGAGCCAGTAATGACATCACATGGCGCATTATGATTACAGTGACAACTCTTGTCACAATTGTTACCATAATAACCAACAGGACACCCTAAAAACACCAAAAAACCACATCAGTAACTTCATTGTTACCATAATAACCAACAGGACACCCTAAAAACACCAAAAAACCACATCAGTAACTACATCGTTACCATAATAACCAACAGGACACCCTAAAAACACCAAAAAACCACATCAGTAACTACATCGTTACCATAATAACCAACAGGACACCCTAAAAACACCAAAAAACCACATCAGTAACTACATCGTTACCATAATAACCAACAGGACACCCTAAAAACACCAAAAAACCACATCAGTAACTACATCGTTACCATAATAACCAACAGGACACCCTAAAAACACCAAAAAACCACATCAGTAACTACATCGTTACCATAATAACCAACAGGACACCCTAAAAACACCAAAAAACCACATCAGTAACTACATCGTTACCATAATAACCAACAGGACACCCTAAAAACACCAAAAAACCACATCAGTAACTACATCGTTACCATAATAACCAACAGGACACCCTAAAAACACCAAAAAACCACATCAGTAACTACATCGTTACCATAATAACCAACAGGACACCCTAAAAACACCAAAAAACCACATCAGTAACTACATCGTTACCATAATAACCAACAGGACACCCTAAAAACACCAAAAAACCACATCAGTAACTACATCGTTACCATAATAACCAACAGGACACCCTAAAAACACCAAAAAACCACATCAGTAACTACATCGTTACCATAATAACCAACAGGACACCCTAAAAACACCAAAAAACCACATCAGTAACTTCATCGTTACCATAATAACCAATAGGACACCCTAAAAACACCAAAAAA